CAGTATGATTCTCTCACCTCCAATTTGTTTATTGTAAACACAATGATCAGCAGGATTTTGAATAAAATCATTTTGAATCAGAAAATCATCTAGCATTTTATTCCAATTCCGCCCTGACTGTTTCAAACCATAGAGTGATTTGTTAAGTCTACAGACAAGCCTCTCACTTGTTTCTGACTTGACCTCAAACCCTTCTGGCTGTTCCATATATAATTCAGTATCAATAGGGGCATGCAAATATGCAGTCTTTACATCCATTTGATGCAGTTCTAAACCATATTGAGCTGCAATTTGCATTAAACTACGTATTGATGTCATGTCAGCAGTTGGAGAAAAAGTTTCATTATAATCAATGCCTGCAACTTGACTATACCCCTTCGCCACATACCGAGCTTTGTATGTTGTCCCAACTGGGTTTTCCTTCAATGTGTAGACCCATCTACCTCCCACTATATTTTTACCTTCAGGTAGTGTTGTAAGGGTAAACGTATCATTCTCCTTAAGAGAGTTCATCTCCTCCTGCATGGCCTTACTCCACAATTCTGACTCTGGTGAACTTATAGCCTCCTTTAGAGTGTGGGGTACATCACATGCAACTCTATAACAATAATCAATACTGGCTAGTGCATGGTCATCATCACATTTTATTCCACACTCATAATCCCTCAAATACTGTGGAGGCCTCTTCTCTCTCTGTGGATAACGCCTGCTCTCAACACTTTCCCTTTCACCTGTGTTGGGGTTTGGGTCACACGTTTCAGATCTTATGTCCTGGGGATTTATTAATTCTATTTTCTCAGGTTTTGATAGGTGAGTTTCGGCGCTCTCCCTACACACATCATCTTCACACGTTAACTGATCTGTCTGAGTGTGGCATTCTGTCCCACTCTTTGTGATAAACTCCACCAACCTACTTTTGTTCACTTTTCCTGAGTCTGGATAGAAAACTAGATATGCAGGGCTATTCTTGTCATAACCAATGAAAATCCCTTTTTCACATCGAGAGTCTAACTTTTTCTTGTTCTGTTTGTATGCATAGCACTCTGACCCAAATATTCTCATTCTTGAAAGATCAGGCTTCTTTCCAGTCAGCATATAGTATGGGGTCTGTTCTACACGTCTGTTATAACATCTGTTGCGAATAACAGCTGCAGTCTGGATTGCGTACGTCCATAACATTTTTGGTAAGCTACTCTCGATTAACATACACCTTGCCATATCAAGCAAAGTTCTCCAGCTCCTCTCAGCTGTCCCATTCTGATGGGGTGAATAGGGAGCTGAGGTTTCGTGTCTAATTGCATTTTTACTGAGCAGGGACTGAAATTCCCTGGATGTAAACTCGGTGCCATTATCAGATCTCATACATTTAATTTTACCATAAGGTGAAACATCAGCAATGAACTTCTCTGTTCCTTTGACTGTATCACTCTTTGCTCTCAAAAAATATGTAAAGATTGCACCTGAATAGTCATCAGTAAAGGCCAAGATATACCTGAAACCATCTTTTGCTACCGGCTCCATAGGTCCAGCTAAGTCTGTGTGCACAAGTCCAAGGGGAACTTTTGCTTTTTCATCTGCCTCCCTGTTCCTGCTCTGAGCAAACTTTCCCTGTATGCACACTTCACATTTTAAATTAGACATTTCAGTTCTACCTTTAATTTTCATCCCCTTTGTAACATTTTCCAGCTTCAACACATCCTCATAATTACAGTGACCAAGAATTTCATGCCATGTGTGGATATCGTAACATACATGACATTGATCAACATCGTCTGTAACCGTGCTTAAATAGAACAGTCTATCATACACCTGAATGTCAAATGTTACACCGTTCTTATGAACAAGTCTGTTCTGACCTTCTTTGAAAATGACCGTCGCTCCCTGGGACGTCGCTGCCTTGACTGAGAAGATGTCCTGTGGAAAAGATGGGACGTACAACGCCCCCATCAGCATCGTTTCCACCACTTGACCATTGTTGTCTCTCAGGCGAACTTTGGCCGTACCTTTCCTCAAGGCGATACCGCTGGTCCTCTCTCCATCAGCCAGCTCTAGGATGTGCTTATGTGGCTCAAAACTTTCATCAAAGTCCTTGAACTGTGTCATGTCCCGGATGATATGCGACGTGGCTCCTGTATCAACCATGAGACCTTTTTCCCTCACCTCGCTGGCCAGGACGGCATCCACTTGGCCCACCTTAAAAGCAAAGGTGTGGTCCTCCTCATCCATCACCTGCTTCACGTTGTCCCGCTTTCTCCACTTGCAATTCACATCCCTGTGCGTGGAACTTTTACAAAAATTACACCACTGTCGCTGTTCTCTATGCTCACTCGTAGTAGAAATGCACTCCACAGCCTTATGTCCCTCCTGTCCGCAGTTGAAACAGGTCAATTTCATATTCCACCCGTCTCTTGCTTTCACCTTCATCACGCTGTCATCCTCTGAGCAAGCAGCACTAAACTTTTCTGTGCTCTCATAACTCCTCAGCTTTGTTTTGAACTCCGTGAAAGTTATCGTTTCATCACTTTGGGTTATGTGGATGGAAAATAGCTTAAAAGAGTCCGGTAGGCCCTTCAGAACCATTGCAATCAACAAGCCATCACTTAAAGTCTCTTCCGCATTTCTCAAAGCTGTAATAGCGGTCTCTGCGCGAATGACATAATCTGTGACGCTCTCATTGACAGCTTTCTGAAGAGACGTAAGCTCTGTGTATAAGCTGATCACTCGTGGTTTCCCTTTACCAGCATAGTGTTCTCTCAGAATCTTTAGCGCCTTTCTTCCATCATCCGCTGCATCTCTCATCACAAGGGAAAGGCTTTTATCATCCAACAGCTGAATCAGTTCTGCATACGCGTCCTCATTTTTCTCCGCGTCTTCTTCTACACCGTCATCATCAGGTGGTTCGCTCAGTATGGTGCTCTTCAAACTGAGCAGACGCAGGTGCGCAAGAAACTTAGTTTCCCACAGTTCATACTTTTTCTCATCCCCGTCAAAACATAAACGGTTCCACCGGCTTCCAAACTCCTTCCTGGGCCCATAACCTGTTGAGTTCGCCATCATAACATAAAGGGTAGAAAACCGGCTAAAACATGACGGAGGAATAAACTCACGGAGCCATCGGGTTTCGTTTGACTGTCGTGCACACTCACACAGGAGCATGCAGTCATTTTATTAAATTGCAACACCTGAAAAACATTATGAACGAACCACACCCTTTAGACTCACACCCCCTTAGTCAACAGTCATAATAAGAGCACATTCAAGGTCACCAATGTTCAACACTGTTGCTATTTTCCCGGCGGGATAAATGCCTCTTGCGCCTGGCGCAAATCTAAAAGGGGTTGGTCTGAAGTAGCTTCATTATTCATAGGTGTGGTTTGGGCGTAACGTGAAATAAACCAATCAGAGCGTCATCTCACATTCCCTTTAAGAGCAGGCGCGCTTGTTCTAAAGCGGATTCCTATTATAACGGCGGATTTGCCAGGCGCGCGACAGGAGCGGTTCACAGCCGAGGAGAGCAACGTTCTCGTCAGGGCCGTAAAACACAGAGAAGTGACATTGGGGATGGAGAAACCCACCCAAATTAACTTCTGTTAAACAGGCGTATGATCATTTGGGTAAATGTGTAAGCTACATGCTTTTATAATAAATTGTCTATCATCTATCTATCTATCTATCTATCTATCTATCTATCTATCTATCTATCTATCTATCTATCTATCTATCTATCTATCTATCTATCTATCTATCTATCGTAATAATGTATGATTTGCAAAAATGAAAACTGCTGCTTAGATGAGAGAATCAACGTGTATGCGCGTTGTGCACACGCTACATTGATTATGGCCAAGCATGCGCCCTTAAAATACCATAATGAACAACGCGCCACTGACTTTAGACTAGTTTTTTTCTGGTCAGTGGCGCAATTGTTTTATAGAACAGCAAAATAGCATGAGGGAAAGTTTGCGCCGGAACATGCCTCCTCTTTGCGCTGAACCGCCCCGGGGAGCGCAAGTGTATTTCTTAGTTAACCGACGTGCGTCTGTGGAGGGAAAAGCCCGCTTTGCGCGGGTGCAAAATAGGAATGATACATGCGTCAGTGTACAAAGTCATTTGCGCCGAGTGCAAGATAGGGCCCTATATCTGCCAATAATACTGTATATCTTAGTAAGATGATATTTAAATGCTTAGTTTTATGATCAAATGTACTTTTAGAACATATAATGCAATATAATGATGATTGAGAGATGAACAAATAAAACGTCCTCAAAAGCCTGATGATCATATTTGATACTCATGATTTTTCTAATAAATGATGTCTGGATAATCAAGTAAACCAAAGTTATTTCAGTCCAGTAAGTGTTCATCTAACAATATATATAAGTTATTCTTACATTTACTTTATAAATATCAGTAAAGATTTCACAGCAAGGAGAGTTGCGAACAATGAATGAAAATTGAGGGGAACATTTGTACAATTACACTAAAAGGCCTTTTACTTTGCTTCATCGGTCAGGTAGATTTTGTGCAACACTTTTTTCAGCAAAGTTTTGATTAGGTTGATAATTTAGAGGCCTTAGAAATTTGCTTATCAAATATGATAGAGTATGCTTTATAGAGTTAAGAAAGAAAATAGGATTTTCATTTCATTTCAATGGGAAAATACTTAAAGATCAACAAGATCTTTATAACGGTATAGCTTACATAAAATGCATATACACATCAGCAGTCACTCTATATCTGCCAATAATATGTCTTAGTAAGATGATATTTAATGCTTAGTTTTATGATTTAAAGATCTGTATTGCATTGCAGTACAATGATGATTAATGGCAGCATCTGTACAATCTGTGATGAATACCTCTTCTATTTCTGTCTCTCTCCATAGTGTCACAGCCAAGCGGTTTGGACGCAGATGAAGAATAATGAAATAATGTGAATGCCAGTGGATCAGCTGCGAACACACACCAGAGGAACACTGTTAAATTATATGCAGAGAAGAAATATACAATCGCACTAACTGGAGCAGATCCTTGTGTTTGAATACTGGACATAAACCTCAGACGACTGGGACAATAATGCAGCGTTTTGAATTAGCCTCCGATGACTAGAGGAAACTACGAGACCACCATCTCCATGCTTCTGAGAGGAACAGAGACACAGGAGGATGTCAACAGAGGCAGACCGTCAAGCAGACGTCAAACTCACTGTTAAGAAGGAGTCCAGGAGGAAAGGTCAGTTCAGTGGCGGGGGTGCGCATGATATTGTAGTGATAATCAGATAGGTAATCGAGCCAGCTCTGGTATGTGGAGTAAATTAACTAGATTCTAATTTACTAAAGTCTCTTCCATTCGTGAAACAAAGGGGACAGTGTTTTGAATTGATTAAATCATTGACTCATTCGCACATGCAGCGTCTTCTCTGATGAATGAACAACGAAGTGCTTTGCTTACTAATCGAGCCAGCTCGGGACATGTGACTCGAGATGACATCTCGTGAGTCCGGCCAAAGACCACGCGACCCCTTAGGGTCTCCTCTGTTTTAATCACCTCACACACAGAGCATAAGTGTAATAACGTGATCACCACCACTCAAATGATTAAACTCATCAACTCAGAGGAGTACGCACACACACGAAACTCCCCGGAGGGGGAGTGAGCGAGAGTCCACCACCCCGGCAAACTCTAACTGAACTCTGCTACACACACACACGCAGAAACACTCATTCATGAACTTTTAAATGCCTACCTCTTTAAACGTATGAAGTGTTTCTCTTGTTGTGTTTTACAATCCCCATGTGACCAAATTGATGTAACTATAAGCTTTTATGGTATGTAATCAGTTTGACATTCGGTTAATCACGAAAATCATGTATCTGCATTTTACTAGCCCTAGGAATGTCGCGCTTGGTATGATTGGAATCAGAGGAATCGAATAAGATCGAATCACTGAACCAAAGTGCAACATGAGGCATACTTTTATCAATACCAGTTTAGAAGTGTATTTTTACTAAATGTTATCTTCCATGCACATGACCCGGAGGGCGTGTGTTTTCGCAAACACAGAAGTTTGACAACACGCCTCCTCCCCAAACGATTGGATAGGACACGCAAGAAGGGCGTGCCTCTAGCTCCTTAAAAACTCGAACGCCACAATCTGTTCGATGCAGTTTCTACGCCACATGAGAGCTTTTCCTGTGAGAGGATCCATGGCTCCTTCGGGGAGCTTTCTCCGTTTTCTTTAATCTTTCTTTATTTTCGTCTTCGGACTCTTCTTACGTTTAGTTTCAGTGAAATGAACGTAATCGGCAACTTCAACCTGAAGGAGACTCTTCAAATCTGCAGCGACCACGCTCGCCCAGAAGAGCTGAGAAAGCACGCACCCGCTCCTAAGGACATACACGCAAGACACAGTTTTCCTCAGCAACACCAGGAGAACCAAAGACCTTTAAGCCTGCATTCAAACTAACGCGCTTTGCCCGCTCTGAAAGACCACGTGAACGCATGACGCAAGGACAGAGACACAGACACGTGCTTTCTTCATATCACGCCAGAGAGCGTTACCTGTGCAAGTAACCGTTTACCATTCTTTCAAGGTTTAAGATCTGTTGATTCTTGGTGTCTAAAAAGGTTCTGTGTCTGTGATGAATTTCGCCACACCAGAAGATCTCTCATCTTCTCACTCTCTCTCTCTCTCTCTCTCTCTCTCTCTCTCTCTCTCTCTCTCTCTCTCACTCCCAATCTTGCGCTCTCGCAATCTCTCTCTCTCACTCCTGTTTGTTGTTCGTCTGTCTCATTAGTTTTACTGTTTACTGTACATACATGTATCCCGTGTTTAAATGTAAAATTCTGTATCCGTAGTTTCATTTTATTAAAACCATTATATTCTTGATTGTTTTGAATGCTCATATTTTACAAGTCAATGAAATGCGATCCTATAGCTACAAAGCTTTACAAGTTGTTACTATATCAGTAACGTAAATTTTATAAACACGAGAAAATTAATGTTCACGGCCGGAACATTGAGATTTCTTGGAGTTTATAAAAAGGGATAACGTTGTTGAATTAATTGATGGGTTAATCTTACAGCCGTTTGCTGGACAAACCGATTGTTTGATAGCCAATTGATTCCCTCAAAGTTATCTCATATAATCGATCTGTAATGAGACCATTGATATATGAATGAGGAATTATAATTCGTTATGATTGATCATTCATATATACAATCGATCTATTTTCAATTTCGATAATTTAACTGTAATATGCAATATATTAATCATGATTAATTATTAAAATTCCCTATGCGTAATTTGAGCTAATTAAGGCACATCTCGATGTCGCTACAATTTGGTGGAGAATGCGGGCATTTCAAACTTTGTTTTATGAGCAAATTCAGTTTCAATCTGTTTATATGGTTATTAATAATTTTGTGCACGCACGATATGGAATTTTGAAATTGTGAGATAAGTCGCAACGCGAACTCACTCCTAACTGACTGAGGCAAAAACCGACGTCAGTCAGTAACGTTACATTTTAACAGCTGCTAAAATATGCATAGACATGTTTATCACTGTTAAATGCTGAGTACACTGCAGTATTAATATTGCAGATGTCCTGTTAAGAGATGAAGAAAACTCTCTGCAGGTGATACATTTTAATATGTTTAAAACCGCCTATTAAGACGAAGAAATCTCTTTTTAGTGTGAGACGTAAATCTGATCAGAGCGAGATTCCTTTGATTCAGTAGTAAAAGGCCTGATATTATAATCGTTAGAGTAACGATGAACTCCTGGTTTGAAAAAACATTGACTTAGCTACTCAATTGTAAAAAAACGAAAAGCATATTATCACAAGTGCTATTTGATATATGCTTGGAGTCGAAAACAGATGAATAATTCCTGTTTCCTTTTGCACGACGCAGCGAAGAAAACCTGCTAACGTGTTAAATAAATATAGCACCGATAAAAATCCAAAACTGAAAACATTTTTAATCAATGCCATTTGATAAATGTTATTTGGAGTTGAAAAACAGATGAATAATTCCTGTTTCCTTGCACAACGCAGCGAAGAAAACCTGCCAATGTGTTTAAAATAAGTATAGCACCGGAAAGAAATCCGTCGAGATTTAAATGAGACAGTGCATGTCCCCCGAGACACTCGAAAGCGGGCTGGTTGCAATACTACTGCCAAACGCTAGGGTGCGCCCTTGAGTGTTTTCCAGTATCAGATTGCCTCCACGCCCTCCATGAGCGAAATAGCGCCATCGTGTGGACACTAGCGGTAAAGTGTCTTTTCTTCAATTTTCTCTTCCCACAACTTCAAAGTTTACCAGTGAGATTTTGAACTCGTGTTTTAACTTTCAATGCATGGCAATTTACAGCCTCGTTTACTAACATGATTTTCCCTGCCTTAACTGTGTGCACTTGTTTTGGATTTTGGTTCAAACCACATTTGAACTTAAAAATTCAAAATTATGTCTTAGCAGTTTCTGATGACCGCTCTGTTTTGAAATGGCTTTCTCCCAGTTGATCTTATGTTGGTTACTACCACTGACACCTCACTGTGGTCGTGATCATCAAATATAAGGCCAACCCTTAATTTCCTACACTTATTCAAATTTGGTTTGAAGCAAACAGATTTCAAGGTTAATTTGAATTAAGTCTCATTGCCCGTTGGGAATTGTTTTATGGCTTTTTCTATATTTCCCTTTTCAAATTATTTTTAATAATTTTGATTTGATTTTATTACAACTGTCTCCTTGCTGTTCTAGAAGTTACTTAACATCTATGAATATGCTTGATTTGAATCGTATTTAAACCAGTTTGAATGCAATTTAAATCAAGTTCTCTGTCAGCCAGCTTGACCACTAAGAGGAAGTGGCCCAAACCCCTTTGTGGCCCAAACGCGCCACTACAGCCTGCTTCCTCCTGTGCTCTTCCTGCGGCTCTAAAACTCTCCTCCGAAGGGAGACTAGGTTATTCTGATAATTAACATTGTCATAATTCCCTTTGTTTTTACCATCATTTTAGTAAAGCCGTTGCCTTTGATTTTTCTAAAAAAAAAAAAAAAGAGACACTCAATTTGATTTAGATAAAAGAGCTTTAATTCACGTTGAGGTTCAATTGTTCTTCATCCTGTTTTGTGTTTGTAGGTAGAAATCTCTCTCGGGCTGTGGCGATTTGACAGTCAGCTCTGCTCGAGGTCCGGCGGGCTGGTTCATCTGATCTGCGTCACCAGCACTGACTGAGCACGGGTCTCGGACTTTCCTGTATCTTTCCCTTCGTGCGGCCCGCAACACGACATTACCAATTCGGCACCGCCGGTTGTGTTCCAGGTCAAGTTGCTTGAGAGGGCGCACCTAGGTACAGATGCACCGAAAGGCCCGGGACACTGCTGTCAAGTGTTTGGGGCGACAGAAGGACCAACCACGATGCTGACTTCGAGCGGAATGACCTCATTTCACCCCAGGCAAACTAGAAAAAGGTATTAAACCCATCCACTTAATATTGGCCACAGAATCTAGAGATTCCCCGGTCATGGGAGTGTTTGGCTCCCTCTCAAAGCCACAAACTGCAGGCTTAGGCCTCCTTTTCCCCTCTTAACACTTCTCGTGTACTATTAATGCCATTTCATTACAGACCTTTCCATTTTTGATGGTTGCATGTTACTTCAAACTTTGCTATCTTGCCATTGCTCTGTTCTGTTGGGCTCTGTTCCTTTCAGTTCACCTAGAGACAGAACCTACGAGAGACACCCAGAAAGGCTAAATAACAGATCGACCACCGAGCAGCTAGCGTCACCACGTGACTCCCTAGGCTGCCGCCCTGTCAAAATCTTTATTTAGGCCCTGCGCTGACCTACGCGAATTGTCCCAATCTAACTGTCTGCATCAGTTAGCCAAAATTCTCATAGACGGCCTAGGCCGTATTAGCATAATTCATTAGCTCGTAGACGAACTTGCATTGGTCTCTCTGTGTGTGTTGTGTTCCTCTCGCCCACAGTGAAGCCAGTATGTTCCGGTCCTACAGTCCCACAACCCGCTGGGACAACATGGAGACATGGCTGAGATTCATGACACCTCCATTCCTGCCCAAGGTCGCCAGTGACAGAGCCCGAGCCAAAAGCAGCTGGACGCAGACGTGGACACGCTAATGTCGCACCAACCCAGCCAAAGCTCCCACGACAAAGACTGGGCCAAACACGTCAAAACCTCGCTTTCCAGCTCACCGCGCAAG